ATCTTCTCATTTAATAGCACACGCTTTTCCAGACTTTCTCATATACACTGGCATTGGTGCTTACATTGGTGGGGGACTCTAAGGGCTGATCATCTTTAAACTACAGCAGCGACATTGTGCAAAGTTTGCAAAGTCAGTTGGAGAGACGTGACCTCCCTGCCCGACTCCAAGTACTCCCACTGCAAGTGGCATGCGTGACTCTGTTTAAATGACAACAATAAGGACTCGTCTCATGAAAACAAAGATGTGTTATCCTTTTGGGAGTGACAAAAAAAAGGAAAAAAGAGAAAGAGGAGTGTTATAAAAAAAAAAAGGAAAGTTTGTGGTGAGTGGAGTAGATAAAAATGATTAAATAAAATGCTCAATAATTAAATGCTGCGCATACCGGCTTAAATATAGGGGAAGAGATATTTGAATAGCTTCCACAAGTTTTCTGTCTGCAGGCTGTGACATGACAGTCAAGTGTGGAGTTAGTAAATTGGGATATGAGGGGACAATTTCTTAGCAGAGCTAGCAGGCTTCAAAGAGCATAGAAGCTAGCAGTTAACACTTTGGACAGTATTACATAAGTGGGCGTGTTGTTGATGTCACATTATTTATGATTTAATGGTGATATATGCTGGTTGCAGAGGTTTTGCTCAGCGTCCTAGCAGACTAGAATTGCCACAGCTCAGAGAGCCAAAGGTTCAGGCTTCAGACTACTAGAAACGCTCAGTTTTGGGCCTTTTTTTCCTACTCTTAGCTCTTTGTGATGTCATAGAGACCAGACAGCCTTTATGTGGTCATCCCAGGCACATAAGCCCCAACCAGCTGCTGTTTAGGAGGAGCAGACAATCACAAGACAGTGTTCCTAAAGGGGCAGAAGCTAAGTTGAATTTTTTTCTTTTTATTCATTATTTTTAATGCGTAAAAAGAAAAAAACTGCCAAACAAACCTATCGGGTACATCATATATCATTAATGTTATTTAGTGTATACCGGTTTCTTCTGGATCTCAGACTAAAGGCCAACTTTTCCATTTCATAGATGACATGAACACTGTCCATCTGTTATTTTTTGTTTTTTGTAACTGTATTTTTGCTAATATTATTACTCTTTTGGCTATTAACAGTATTTAATACTAATACCAGTCCTCTCTTTTTAACCACGTCTTCTTTATAAAAGCAGAAATAAAAAGCTTCAGTGGGACTTGGAATTTTGGATCTTGATATTTTACTCAGTTTCAGACAAATTCTTTCCCAGAATAACTTTATTTTGGAACATGACCAAAATATATATCAGCTTCCAGGTTTCCGCACTGGTTCCAACATGTTTCCAACCAGCTTGTTCAACTCAGGGTGCACTGAGTGGTTGCACCAAAGTCCAATAAATGATTATTTTGAACCGTAAATCATACAAAACCACTCTATTAGAGTACCAGAATAAAAATATGGAGCTGTAAATAAGCATAGGGCTTTTTAAGCAAAAGAAGCACAAAAGAACCATCAGTAATGTGGGTGCTAATTTGTAGTAAAATATGAGTTTTAGGGTTTTTTTGATGCAAAAATAAATTCAGAATTACATTCACTTGAAATAGTAACCAGTTTTCATACCATACAGATATACATAAAAACAACCAGCTGCTGGGAACAATGGGAAAGCTGCATCCGCAACACTAAAATGGAACAGAGTGGTTTTCAAAATGGTCTGTTTTATAGTAAATGGGTTAAAACATGCAAAACCACATGTATGGCCCCACGGCAGACGCCAGGATTTACTCTCAATAAAAATAGATGTCGAAACATAACACATTGTTATTCATTTATCACGAGGGTGTTGCTTGCATTTTCCCCCATACAGTACAGCCAAAAAATCAACATCATCTCAATTCCTGAGTCGCCTACCATGACTCATTCTTGTTGCGGGGGATGGGAGGAGGGAGGCTTGGACGCTTTACTGACAGGGCGGTTTCCCTGCGCACGGCCTGAATGACAGAGTTGCCCCATAAGACGTGACAGCTGTTGACGCCAACTCCGAGATGTGTTTCCACGTGTTTGTCATTTATTGGTGTTAACCATGGCTGCGTGTTTGCATGTCAGGCGGCTGACCTGCCAGCCCAGGATATGGGCTGTGTTTTTTCTCTCGCCCAGAACGTATTTTTATGTTTTTCAGCAAGTAGTATTTTGCACGTGTGAGTGTTCATTTACTATATTTGAATGCACACGGTATATCATTGGACCTTGCGTCCATGCTAAGTGTGTGGATGTTTTTGTGCTGTGACATCCTCCTCCACTGCAGTAAAAGCCCTGTGCAGCTGGCCCTGCCTGATGACTTCCAGAAACTTCCGCTCTTCACTCAGTCTCAGTGACACATGTGTCCTCTCTCCTCCAACCCTGGACGCCACAGCAGCTCTGCAGGGCTTATCGTCTCTTCCTCATACTTCTCTCTGAAGAAACAAGCCAACATCTGGACTTAAATGGAATTCAGTCCACCAAAAGCCTTGCTAATAGTCATTCCTGAATCGATTATTGGTGTACTTAATTTTATGTGTTTGTGCTAAATCGGCCTTATTATTCTTGCTCAGCACTCAACTGCAACTTGTTCAGGAAGTCATTTGGTACGTTGTCCAAACAACTGTGCGACCTCTGCTGCTCATTTGCTCTTGCTTATTTGCATATAAACCATGAAAAAAGGAAGAGCTCACTCTTTCTCTGCCAGTAGCTTAGTGCTGTCCTGTGCTGTTGGAGCTTCAGGACTCTAAACCTCAGTGTCTGACCACTGGTGCCCAGATCTGAGCGCTCCCTGCGTAGGTGCTAATTTAGAACAGATGGCATGTGGAAGCCAAGGTTCAGATCTCCTCTGAGCAGTAAAAGACTCTGAAATGGGGACATCCCTGCTACAAATTACCTCTGTCTACTTTTCTTTGCTAGTAATCTGCCCCTGAAATGATCCACAGAGAGTTTGCATTATTAGTAAAAGACTCGAGGCATATGCAGAGCAACAAAGGGAAGCAACAGTGGAAGTTACTTTTCCCTCTTTTGGCACATTTGATTCATTGTGCCACCCTCATTTCCATTTAGTTTGCCTTTGCTGTGCGCGCTTTAAGTCTTGTGCAAAATCTCTGACCTTTGTTCTGTTTGCTTGATTATTTGCTTGCTTTGCTGCATTCAGGCACCCTGCAGGTAAAGCAGAAGAGAGAGACGGCTTCAGTTGGAAAATGAGCACCTGAGGCCGATGTTCTCCAAGAGAGGTTTGGAGCTTTGAGCTAGCACGGTTGCTGTGACAGGCAGTTTAGTTCTTTAAGGTGCAGTTTGTAGCATTTCTCCGAGCGCTTTTTAATTGCCAATGTGCCAAACCCAAAAAAGATTAGACTTTCACGGATCGACTGATTTCTGTGAGGCATGTCACTCAAGTGGAATTTGTTGCAAAATCAAAAAGATGTGACATTTATGCTTGCTCGTAAGCATTTTGCCTAAATGCCATTCTTCCCCTACAGCATTGCTAATAACAGCATGCAGCAGTATTGGCTCGATACAAGATGGCTCTAGCCAGTGTGATATCAATTATTTGTCAGTCGAGTCCTGAAGTCAGTTATCTCAGGGTCTAGAAACAGGACGGCAAACCAAAGCATAGATAAACAATGTTGTATGAATGTGTGTGTGTGTGACTGGAAGAATGAAACTTGCAGTAAGAAAGCCTTTTGAGTGCTCAACAGTCATCTGTCCAATATGAGTAGCAGTGGATTCACTTTTTTCTAATCAAAAGAAGGGCCATCATTTATCGAATTAACTCCTGAAACTGACCTCAAACTAGCGACTGATCCCCCAAAGTCATCAGCAAAGGGTTGGGAAAGCAGTGAAGCTTCCCCGTCATTAGCTTAAAATGCAGGTTTAAGGCACTTCCACATTGGCTAATGCTAATGTTAGCAAACAACCAGCTCCTACCACATCACAGAAAGACGAAAAACTAAAACTGATCTGGTTTCTGACAGGATTGGCTAGAAAGCCAGCCAAGGTTAGCCAGCTGCTTCTACATTCCATAGTCACTTATTTGCCTGTGTTTCCAGATAAGCTATGGGCTCAGTCAAACAGACATAGAAAACTGTTGGTGACCATCTGGCAACCACCGTTTGCAAGGAGACCAAACAGATGGCGAGTAGTCACTGGAGGTTGTGGCCTTCCGCTACAAGTGGTCACAAAGCGGCATACGATTCTGCACCAAAAATTTTGGGATTGCTTTCCAGGTCGAACAGTCACCAGTAGTTTCATGGAAGATGCCAGTTTGTCTCTAAATAATTACAAACTAATGATATTGAAACCATGAGAAGTGCAACGCAAACTAGAAACAAAGAACATTCTCTTTCAAATCAATCTGTTGCAACAACAAGGCACAGCTTTTAATTTAAAGATGAACATTCATGCTACTACTGCACATTCACCCAATGTATATACTATATATATATATTTAATGTTCTTCCTCTCCCCCCCCCCCATTTTTCTGCACATGTCGAGGAGCGTGTCAGGCTACATTTCACTGTGTGTTATACTTGTATAACTATGCATGTGACAAATAAGGAACCTTGAACCTTGAACCTTGATCGTTTTCGGGCTACAGCACAAGTTTTCAAGTTTCACTTCAGCTTGGATGATGAATAGCATCAAAGAAGTTGCCTTTATACAATACAGGAAACTGCGACAATGTGCAATCAAAGATATTCTGAGAAGGTTCTCGGTGTAACACTGAATACCTCTTTGTGACAAGTTTCACGGTAGCTACTGACTGTAACCTCAAGAAATCACTCGCCAGCCAGTCGGGTAATACGCACAAAGGTTGCTGGGTGTCGCTGGCCAGGCTCCATACCTAATACTCACCAGAAGAAGAAGAATTCCTATAATTTCTAATCTTTATAATCTCTTCTGCTATTTGCACGTTCTTTACTGTAAATTCCTAAGTTAATTTGTAAATTTTGTAGTAAACTAACTTGTAAATATTGTAAAACTTTTCTTCTGTCATTTAATGGTCGGGCATTGTACAGCTACAAGCATTTCACCCCCATGTCATACTGTGTATGGTTGTGTGTGTGACAAATAAAATTTGAATTTGAATTTGAAGAAATCCAGATTTACCTCCTGAAGCCATTCTGGCTATTGTTAGCATGCACAAGGTTTACTCTCTTTATAACAGCGTATGATTTATATAAAGTCAATTAAATATCTTTGGGTTCGGCTGTTCTGGTCAGACAAAAAATTAATTGGTAAAGTCAAACCCTACCTCCTTCAGTCCTCACGCTGAAGCATCCTTGGGCAAGATATTGAATCCGGACTTGCCCCTGATGCCTCCATCAGAGTGTGAGAGAGTGTGTGACTTAGGCTGAGAGCTTAGGCATAGATCAAAGCACTATACAATTAAGGTGAATGAGACTTGTAGTATAAAGTGCTTTAAGTTTTCAGCTGAGTAGAAAGGAGCTACAGTCCATAACAGTCCATTTACCATCTCAAGCTTGGAAATAAATGTGATTGGCTCTTCTTTTAAAAATGCACAGTTTTCCTATACTTTATTTTTTGCCCTTTTTTCAGCCTTTTCTGCCTAGTGAAGTTTTACAAGGGGAATATAGAGAGCATGTTGTGATTTTTCCATGGGGTAATACAGGATCTTGTACAGTAGCCTGTGTTAGAGTTCAGCCCAGGGTGTAGGAACTACTTCAAAGCCTTCGGCTACACCCTGTGGTTAGTGTAAAGCCAGGCACATGCAAGCTAGAGTGTTCGCACAAACCTTGCAGACAGTTAATATATACAGCATTTATTGTAAGGCAGGCACACGCCCTCAGACAGGCACAAATTTATTTAAGTCCATAAAAACACTTGACTGCGTGTAACCCCTAAATTCCCCCCACAGTCTTAGCATCAGCCTCCTTCACCCACCCCTCCACTTCCTCTCTTTTCTTTCTCCTCAAATCACGTCTCTGTTTTAAACTGGCCTCTCTGAGGCATATTTCACATTTGAGGCATTTCCTGTGCTCTGCTCATATCTGAGAGGAATGACAGTCCGAGAGTAGCGCACTCAGGCCATCTTTAGCCTGCCAGTGTGTGTGTGTGCATGTATTATGTGAATGATGGAACAATATATACCCCCCTGAGGCCTTCCTGCTGGGTGGTAAAGGGAAAAATCCATCACACTCGATATGTTATCCTGTGGTGGTCCAACTGTTGCACAGGACTGGACATTCCCACGCACTCACTGTAAGTTACAGGACACATTTTGAGGTTTTTGTTATGAATGGCAAGCCGGTCATTGAGATCGTCTGACGCTCTCTTTTGGCAAATGGACCGCCTGCTATTTACTCTTGGCAGCGGCAAACAAGTACGGCTGCACTTTGACAAGCCACTCAGGCTTTTATGCTCTCAAGAGCTTTTCACCAACCTTCTTGCAATTGTGCCTTTTGAATAATGATAGGGTGACTGTGTCAATATAATAAACAGTTTCCTAAGACATTAATGGATCACAGTTCATCTGGTGTGTGGATGTAAAAGGAGTAAGGCACCCTCTTTGTGGAGGCAGATATGTTCTACTGTTTGTCAAGGGGAAAAATAATCTGCTTTCATGCCAACCATTAAAGCATTTAGCTTGTTAGACTGAATAACTGATGTTGCAGAGCATGAAACAGGCATTCAGGAAGTAACCATCCATTAGACAGGTCCTCTGGGAACGACATGCCTTCGTTTATTCATGTTTTGTTCCTCCTAGCTTTCACATTATATTAGCAACTCTGGGACGATAGTCAGTCTTTGGTTCATAATGATTTTTATAATTGGCTCTGACAAGTCAATATGTTTTATTTTCACCCTCATATTGGCTCAATAAGGCCTGGTCTTCACTGTTGGTCATTTTTTATGTTTTATTTTATTATTTAAGGCAGATGTGAAAGGGGATTGATTTTTGCTTATCACCAGCTCTTTCTATTTTTGGACCCTAATAGAGTCGCAATTCAAAAGAATCCTTATTTATCTTATTCCTGGATGCTTCTGGTCACATTTTAACTCCCTGCCACCTTCCTTAAACAATTCGGTCACAACAGAGTAAAAATAGGACGCCAACCTCCTCACGACTTGGAAAAAAATCAGTGATGGCTGGGTGATTGGATGTGACTTTTTTGCATTTGGCAGCCAACTGCAAGTAGTTGCAGCCACCAACTGGTTGGTCAGAGAGTGAACATTCAACACCCTCAACCTCTGGGGTATCACTTTCACAGGGCGAATGCATAGATCACCTGGCGAGAGGCAACCTGTGTCCAGACAGCTGTGGTCTGAATTGGACTGGTCTAATTTATAAATGCAGACAAATTGCCAGCATGCTGCAATTAATCTGAGTCAGTCAGTTCAGATGAGTACAGCTTGTCTGTGACCCATCTCTTTGGAATAAAGAAACAAGACTCCCAAGCCCCTTTTTGAATTTGCAGATAAATTGGCATCCTGCAGCAACTATGTCACTATTTATAGTCACTATTTTTAGTATTTCTGGTTAAAATCTATGAGTTTGTGGCTGGACTCTGAATGTAAGAAGTTAATGTGAATATCTTTGCATATAAACAACAACAGACTTTTGTTTTTCACTGTTTCATCACAGTTCATCACTGTAATATCACAAACAGATTGCATGTAACTGCCAATGTGATTACATCCAATCACAAACTGATTAGCAGACTGTGTCCATCCTATTTATCACCGTCTCCATACAATAATGCATGAAGACACTGGTTTCCCTTTGTATCACAGATTCAAAGTAGAAAACACTGTCTGCATCCTGAGCTCTTGACTCACAGAGATTAATTTGTTTTATTAATTCATTCATTGTCTTAAAAACTCATGTGGTTATTTGGGTATTTAATATGAGTATCCGCTATCTGCAGTATATAAGGAAAAGCAAACATTTGTTTGACTGTGATAGTTTCTTGTATTTATGTGCTTGACTCTTCTCATGATAATAAAGTATCTACTTTATAGTAGCAGCTAAAGAAAGACCACAAAAGAACAGTTTTCTGAGACATTCTGCTCCTAAAGTGAGTTGAGACTGTACTAGAGCTATTAAAATCACTGAAACTACGAAAATGTTCCTGCAGGTCAGAAAGCAATACATGACTACATAGAAGCATAGATGGTGACAGAAGTAGCTTTTAGGCAGTCAAGGCTTAAATTCAACAGAAGGACAAGATTTTTTTTCTTTTTTTTCCTTAAAGTGTTGACTGGTGTCTGGTGTACTTCACTGCAGAGTTTAGACTAAGCGAATAAGGTGGGGAGCAAACGTCAAGCTCCTCAAGGAGACCTGAACAGGGCATTGGAATTTGAGATTGAAGTTTTAAAGGTTTAAACAGCTGAATTGAACATTTTGCTGACAGAATCTGTGGCTTTTAAGTGTAGAGTTACCTTTGCTGATGACTGAAGCTGTCATTGTAAGCTTAACCATGTTATTATGTTTCCTAGGCTGACTGGAAAGTCCACAAAGCATGCTGATAGAGACCTGAATTTGTGCTGAAGTTTAGAAAACCCCTTTTTTAAGTTTAATTTTTTACTAATACTGTACTTTCCTAACTGGTAAGAGATGTGATGGAAATGATCTGCGTCTCAAGGGACTCCAGGCTTACCCTTAGATACAGCAAAAGAAGGCCACCCAGGAAAGGTAGTTTGGTATCTGACTAGGCTGGGTCCTCAACACTTTCCGAGTGATTTTTTTCAATGTATGTCCAAACACTAAGAGAATGGGGAAGACCAAGGACATGCTATGATTATGTCTCTCGACTGGCTAGGGAGCTTGGTGGAAAACTATTGCTGGGAAGAGGGAAGTCTTAGCATTTGTACTAACACTGATGCCCCTCCATATCAGGCCCAGAGAAATGGCAGAACATGGATGGATGGTGTGAACCAGCAACAGAGTAACCTAAAAATCTTAACTGAAGTGCAGATAGTTGGAATCTGAAATTAGGATGTTACCAGACATGAATATAAAGCAAGGAACATTTGTGAGCTATAGGATTGTGCAGAATAATTGTCTTTGCGGTAAATCAGTGGATGTCTAATGACTTCTTATGGTGTCTGCAGCGCACACGGCTCGGATAAGATGTCACGCAGTGGTGTTTGTGTGAGTCACGCTGTTGTGTCTATATACAGAAGGCTCTTAAGGGATGGAGCGGATCAGCTCATATGTTTGGTCTGAACATAGTCACCTTTGACCTCTTAACATCAAAGCGTCCTAGAGCAAACATCAATAAGTGAATGCCTTGGCAGAAACATAGGAGAGAAAATTTTCTCCAATAGGCAAATTTGAAGCAGAGTGAGACTCAAAACCAGAGAAACCTTTGAGGAAGTTAATCAAATTGATATTGTACTAAAAGGAGAGACTTTAATGTAACAATCATAATTATCCACAGTGGACGAAGTTACTGGTGATCTCTGGGACGGATGACTTCCTGCTAACCATTAAACAGACAGTTAAATCAGCAGGGATTTGAGTAATTAGATTTCCACGGTCTTAAATCAAATTTACTACTTGTTTAAAGCAAACAACAAAACAAGCAGATGCCGCTGTGTTTCCCTCTATTTCGAGCTAAATGGAGCAGTTGTTGTTGTTTGAATTGGACGTCAGCCTCATGCTGGAAAGAGATTGCTCCCACCGTCCTGCTGATGCTAGCGGTGATCCAATCCTCAGCCATTACTGTGCCAGCACAGGCGATTATTAGGTCCACGTCTGGGTGAAAGTATTAGCGTGGAGTTAACATGGTAAGAGGAAACAAGGAAACATATGAATGCAACCTTTATGTTTTTTTATAAAGCAGGCCAAAATACTAAAAAAGACTTGGACTCTTAGATTGGGCTTGAGGGTTTTAGCATTGTTGTGTCTGCTATGATTAGTTATTGACTGAAGACTTACCTGATCATCTTCCAGAGCCAGGCAGGCTATAAAAGAGTCTCTAAATCATTATCACTGCTCTCTTATTGAAATTAATTCTTTCACTGTGAAGTTCCCCTCCTGATTGAGGAATTTGCACTCTTTTACCCAGTGTGACTCTCTTTGTGATAAGAGTTCGTCTCTACTGGGATTTTACTTAAGTATTTCCACTATTTCATATTTAACTCTTCTATTCCCATTCATTCTAGAGGAAATTTTTATCAATGAATAAATAATGCTGTTTGTATAAATTTTGTAAGAACAAATAACAGAACAAGTGTCAACTGCCTCCATAGACCTTATAAAACATATTGTAGATGTAGATTCATTTTATCTCAAGGCCACCAGATGGCGATAGCTGTGGCTGTAAAAAAGATAAATTAATAAAAATGGTCAAACGACTTTTTGTCTTGACCTCTCTAAACACTATCCTGCTGAGTTTATAGGTGCACGCCCTCATTTTGGATCATATTCAGTAATTTACATCTTAATCGTACTAGTTTATACATTTCAAAATAGAGGATTAACTGTAGTATCAAACCATATGCTCACTTGCTAATAAAGCGTCAGTCATTAGTCAGTGAACGTGCAGGTTTTACAGTTAGACCCACCCTTCCTTGTAATTACAGGTAGGTGATATAGCCTCAAAATTATATCAAGAAAATGGCGTTCTGGAGTAAATGGTTCGTTTATGGTGCAAGTAGTGAAGATTATTGTTTCTGTATTTAGTTGGAGAAGTTTTCTTGCATATTTTGTAGTGTACTGTGTTGTGTTGGAGGATGTTAAAGTAACTTCTGCTCTAGGGGCTCAATCATTATTAAAGGCTGCTATAACAATGATATCTCATTTTTATATCTGGGTAAAATCTCTACTGGTATTATTGCTTCGCGGTATCAGGAAATACAATATGACAAAGCCCTACTTGTAATCAGGAAACGACAGAAACCGTTATCTTAGGAAACCTATAATTACTCTTTCATCCTACTGATGGACCTGCAGTCTAGATAAACCTGTAGCTGCAAAAGCACCAGTTCTTCATTGGTTAGAGCAGTCCTCGAGCTTGCAGCAGAGCAAAGATTGCCATTATGAGATGCAGTCCTGGATTTGGAGTCCATCAGACAATGAAGATTTTCACCTGCAAAAGAGCTTTGGTGCTTAGTTGGGTTAAATCTTGTGTTGAAGCAAAGCTGAAAAGCCTTTACAAATAAATACCTTGGAGTGTGTGGGTTTGTTACATTTTTTTGTATGTAATGTTGATGACTTTGAGGTTTGAGCTCTTTCTTGGACAAAGAGCTTTGAGACTGTTGTTTGATTTTATATTTTTTTACAAACCAGTCCTTACAGTAGATGCTTGTTGGAACCACTTGCAATCTCATGGGTGTAAAATCGCAGTTTCGGGACTCCTGATTAATAAAATAACATTTTCCAAACTGACCCATGTAGCTGCTATGCCACCTCTTTCCAACGTTTCCGGACAGTGAAACAACCAATCACAGGAGATTATAGCCTCGCCTTGATGGATGTAATCTGTCTGACCAAGTTGCATCAGACATCTTAGCTGTTGCATTACACAGCTTTATAGATGTGCCGTAATAAAAAATTGATCTGCCTCTTTAAGCTGCCATTTGTTATCCTGATTCATCTCATAACCTTTAAAATGTCAGAAAACATCGATGGAACATCTAAACCTAAGATTAGCTTTCCACATTCCCTTTATCTCACACTTGTTTGACCTTATTTTCCCAAAGCACTCGCTGTAATCTTTAATCAATATCTGCATTCATATTAACTCCTCTCAGCACTCTCATAAGCTACAGCAGTCCGAGTTATACAAAATAAAATGGAGCCGCAATCACAGCCCTAATGACACTGAAGCACCGAGGCTGCCATCGCTGCTGTTTTGTCCTCGAAGCACCTGCAGTAAATTTGCTCGCTCAGCCAAACGTAATTTGTGCTAGTGCTGCATTTTGTTTTTCCTCATGCTTTCAGAAGATGAGTTGTCATCTTTTGGGTATCTTATGATGCTACTCAGGCAAGTCTGTATATATATCAGTTCCAGTAATAGTCAGCAGCTGGTTGCTATCCTGGAGAAGCAGATGATGCTGAATTAGTTCACACTGCAGTGATTTGCTTTAGAACCTCCCTCAAGTGCTAATCCATCCCTGTCTGTGTATGTGTGCGTTCAGCTTCCAATCTGGCAGGTGTTTGCTTTAAAGGCAAGAGTTATAGACTCGATCAGAGGAGGTACATCTTGAAATTACATTATTTAAAAGACTTTTCTTCCAGCCTTATTCTTGTGATGATTTGGGTGTTGTCCAGGGATATCCAGCAGCTCTTCATACAGGACCAAATCATCCACGTCTAGCTGAAGGAGCCCGGGGTGATTGCACAGAAGTCACGGTGATCAGTTCGGCCAAGCCAGATCATGATGACTTGGCTCTGTCCCAGTCTTACAGAAGCCAAACACAACCTTCATTGACCAACCTGTGCTTCCAACAGTGCAGTGAGATCGACGTAATGTTGGATCAGTCTGCAGATTTGAGGTCTGTTTGCACTGATTTGTTTTACCAACCACGTGTGCGGCTTAAACATAGGGTGAACAACATGACGAGTGATCTGCCTGTCGCTGTGTCTTGTTGACAGTTCGGCTGTGGCATATTGGCGTTAGCGCAACCGACATCTGCTTTCTGGGAGATTAGATGTTACCGGACTGTGCTAGCTGGCTCTGCAGCTTCGGTCCAGGCTTGGTCTCTAATCGGTGCTGGCACGGCCTCCTTAAAGGCTGGAGGCGTTGACAGGGCCGTCTGAGCCTCCCTCCCCCAATCTTTCATTCCTTCTGTTCGTCTCTCCATCCATCCAGTTTTCTCCTTATCTCTTCCGTCTCTCTGGACTTCAGACTCTGACAGATCTGCTTTGTTGCTCGGCTCATGATGAGCACTGAACCCTCCCGAAGAGGTGAAATCTGAATATGAGCTCATATTTTAATTTGACACTGAGATTATTTTTCAGCTGTCATTTTAAATGTCTCATCTGCTTTCTTTAAACTTGATCCAGACCTCGATGCTGACAGGTTGATTATAGCCTCATGCTGATGGCTCTTTCTGCTTGTGGTCGACCGATATTGGTTTTTCAATTACCAATAGAAAATCTTCAGAGAGCAGGGTGGCCAGTATGTATTGCTGATATCATAATTTTTCACATTGGAGACTAAGAGAGGATGTGGAAGGAGCACAGCCTCTAACTTCTAAAGTGGTTTTGGAAACCGTAATGACTCTGTCCTTTGTGATTCAGCTTCACATCGACCTCACTGGCCTCCGAGGTTTGGCGATCATGTCAGGGAGTGTCTCTTGACATCAATGTGGTTGTACTGGTTTTACTTTAATGGCTTAATTTATTGGCTCCTTAAAGGGCAGGTCCTTTAAAAATGCTTATGTTCAGAATAAAGACCATCAACTTTTTATAGCATTTTTTTTTTTGGTCATCTTATAGAAACTGTAAACTTGTACATTTTAGATTTTATATTGCAAAGTCAAGACCCTGTATCAAAGATTGACTGTTTACTGTAAGCTTAGCTCAGGCTTGGTCTCCACAAACTCCAGATCATTAGACAGTAAACGCTCCTATATTTGCTAGCAAGTTGCTAACGTTATCGTCTACGATTAGAAGCAATGGATGTGCGGTTGGATATTATGAGAACAAGTCTTTAGTCTTTGAATGCGCTCCCATGATTACTAGCTAAAGACTCGGTCACGCTATAGTAAAAATGGGGCAGCAACCTCCTTGCAACTGGTGGCTACCTTGTTATTAAACTGAATATTTTGCTATCAGAAACCAGCAACCGCCTGGCTGCCCAGAGTTGAACCACTCTTGGCCTCTGGGCAACCACTTTGGATGGATGGTGATTGCACAGATTACCTTGAGGAAGGCAACAATCACAGTCTGATTCAAAGTGACTGCAGTCGCTCTCACATTGATGAAGGTTCACACATAATTGCCACATAATTTATGAACACAGGCTTTCACGTTGTTGCAGTCAGTCTGAGTTTGTCTACGCAGGTGAGCGTTACTCGTCTTTGACACTCAATTCAACTGGTTGGCAACTGGTTGTATTTTGGTTATGTTCCTTTATTAAAGGCTGAATAGCAAGGCTGTCATTTTGTACTTAAACTGCTGCACTGCAGCAAGTCTGTAACTATTTGTCTGTCACAGCGAGTGAGAAGAGCCATGTGGAAAAGGAAAAAGAGGATCCAAGCGCAGGCAGTCGTGAAGGTGTGAAGGTGATTTATTGAACACAAAAATATGGAGAGGCAAACGGCAAAATGGAGAACTAAACTATACTGGGACAACTAAACTACAGAGCATGAACAAGAACAAGAACACGAACCTGAACATAAAGGAAGGAAGGAAGGAAGGAAGACGATGGTACATGATGATGACAACAGGGAACACACGGATGAAACATGGTGGAAACGCAGACGGACCAGCAACTACAAAGACAGAGGACACAAACTTAAATACACACAGAGAAACACAGGGGAATTACACACAGGTGGTGGACACAGCTGGGAATAATCAACAAGACGAGACAGAGGTAAAACTGAACACACTCACATGAGGCGCAGACCTTCACAATAAAACAGGAAACGAGAACACTACACCATAATTCCTAATTATGACACATATCAGAGTCACGTTATAAATGGGAAGTCATTGGTTCTTTTTGCGGTGACCTGAGTGAGACAAATTCTGACCAAGAAAAAAATCTGAACCTGTCGTTTGTTTCATTAAATCCACTCACCCTTCCAATTATTCAAATTTGCACTCACTCAGTCTTTTAGCCACTCCAGCGCTCGGCTCATAATCCCTGTATTTATTAACATCTTTGACATCTCTAGTAGCTCACGTGATGGATTACTGGCCCGAGACCATTGTTAGCCTCTGCACTCTAAATATATTTCATTTCATGTGGTTTGAGGTCGGAGGCCTGGTGAAACCGGGCTGTGTGTGCTTCTGCTCTGCTGGTCCGGCCTCTGCAGTCTACAGACATCCCCCCCCTCACCCTCCGGTTCCCCTTCGCTGTCTTTGTTTCAGTGCTGCTGCTGCTGCACTTGGCCATGCCTGCAAATGAGCACCAGGACAGAGCAATTATTCACCACAGGGGCAAACCCTGCACCCCTCCTTTGTACATACACACACACACACACACACACACACACACACACACACACACACACACACACACACACACACACACACAGATACTGTCATGTTAAAATGTTTCATGCATTTGTAATGTGTAGGGCTGAGATAAACAGGGAAGAGAATGAAACGCACTTCTGGAAATTTCTTGGATGGAGATGGTCTTTTATGTTGGAACTTAATTCCCTCTGGGGGTTTGATGAGCTTCATATCCCTTTCAAAGATGAATTAATGTAGCCCTGACACACACACATTTCTTGTGTACATCTCCACCCTCCCCTTTTCTCCACCCAACCCCAATGTAATGCAGACACTGGCTTGTCTGCAGCACTATCTGTATGTGTGTGTGTGTGCTGGTGAAGGGGAGATCTTTGTGAGGCAGTGTGCCGGTCCTCTGTGTGTGTGTGGATGAGAGGGAGTGCGTAATCTGCAGCGGCGTGCTCGCCAGCTCCGCTTGCTGACAAAAAGGCATCTCTTCGTCTGCGTGGCGCTGCCCCTCTGACTCCTGCTCTCTCCTCTTCTCACCTCTTCATCTCTTTTCTTTTTCCTCTCTCTTTCTCTGCAGAAGCCGCTGCCTTGCCCCCTCCCCCTTGTGTCCTCTTTGCAGACAAAAAGCTGGAATAACTGCCCCACCAGGTAAGATGCTGTGTATTATATTATATAGTCCCTTTCTAGCTGCTTTTACAGCTACAAATGTGATGTGCATGCTCAGTATTATACAGGCTGGGGGAAAAAAGGAAAATTCTCAAGAGAAAAAGTGCCGGCTTTCTTTCTTTCTTCTTCTCCTCTTCCTTGTCTGATTGTGTGTATGATCTCTAATCAGCATCTCCCTGGGTATCATTGTCTTTTGTTTGGCACAGATTGAGAATATTTGCTGCTGACATATTCGAAGGACGGCGAATATGAAAAAAGTGATGCTGTGATAAGCCAGGGGCTGTTGTTCCTCTGGTTTGATGACCTTTAGTCTTTGTGACGTCCTCCGTCTAGACACCCCTGATTATTCAGCCACCACGGTTCACTCAGGGTGAGCTGCTGCTGCTGCTGTGTGCCTGTGTGTGTGAAACTGAGATAAAAGCCTGATCTTCTGATTTTTTTATATTTTATTTCACTTGGAAACAATGCTGATTGGGTTCTATTTAGAGGCTGTAGCTGTGATGGCATGCGGCCGTTGGCGGTTAGCGACTCATAGCCAACAGATTGTTGGTGGTTTCTCAGTGGGAGCGACACCAAGCTGAGCGAGACCGCGGGATGCATTACGCTGCCTGTCAGCGCCGGCTGAGCTGGCTGTCACAAGTTTGCTGACGGCTCGATCGACTTTTGGAGCAGGTGGCGATGTAGCGCCCTTTTTTTTCTCCCACTCTATCTTTTCTGTTTCTTTTTCCTTTCTTTTTGTCCTTTCTACTATTTATTCCTCCGCCTCCTGCTTTTATCTGTTTTGTTCTTTCGTGTTGTGGCACCATCCGAGGGGACAATAAACCACTCCATATTCACTTAGTAGTTAAACAAACTTCTAATAGTCTTAATCTCACCGTAATGCACCAAATCTCTGTTTCTCTGTGTGTTGGTTTGTTTCTTTGTCCACAAACTCCTCCCATATCATTAAGAGTTGAGCAACCGATCTTGGCACGCAGGTTCATCTTAAGACCAAGAAGGTTCTTATCTATATCAGATAAAATGAAGCCATCCTGTCGTTGAGCAACAGTCTGTTGTTTTTAGCATTTATGCACCTGTGAAAACATATTAAAGCATCCTATCCTTTTAAATTCACAACAATAACATTTGAATTATACCCACAAAAACTGCATTATGCATGAGAAATTATGACGCCTTCAAAGCAAATGACAAAAATGAACTGGTATTTTTTTAAACTAAACAACATCTACTATGCATATCTTGCCAGCAGCACCAACAGGGCAGACAGTACTGTAACATGGGCGTGTAACGGCATGCACCGGTGTTTATATGTAAGAAGCCTTTTCCTCCCTTACTTTTTATAGTGGACAGTTGGCCTCGGGCAGGTTGCAGTATTCACTGTAAATGAAAGATGGACGTAGGCCTGTGACTCACATATTTATGTATATTTATATGTATATAGTCCTTGGACAGGTCTCCAGTCCATCACAGGGCAAACACACAGCAACTCAGAACCTTCTTGCTGTGAGGCAACGCTGCTAACCACCACACCGCTGTGCCACCCTCCTACTTTTGTTTCTGCCGTCTCGCCAACATTACGCATGTATAACTGCGTGCTAGAAGTCACCGCAATGTCTGTCATATCTATAGTGGCATGACGCCCCCTCGCTCCCCTCCCTGAATCCCCTTTTCTCTCCGCCTATCTCTGTCTCCGTCTGCTCGCACGGTTGCTGGGCAGCTCTCAGGCGAGCTGTCTGCTTTCTGGGACCAACTTGGGATGACATGCCAGGGCTGAGGCGGGCAGGACGAGGGGGGCAGATGCGCCCTCTTTCTGTCCTTGTTGTTGGGGTCACAGCTTGTCCCCCAATCACCCAGCACCTCCTCTTCTCTCTTTCCCTTTTTTCCCCCTCCTCCCTCCTCCTGCATCCCTCTTCCGGTTCTGCCAAGCCCGTGCCTTCGGAATAGGGCGCAGCAGGCAGTTAACCAACTGTTGCCATGCTTGAAGGGCAAAATGAGTGGGAGAGAGAAAGAGTCAACACCACCCTGCTTCTCATTGCTGTTAGTCAGCGGAGATAAATGTAGGTGCCACAGCGAAGTCAAGCGCAGAAAAGAAAGGCACTGTTTTCTCTTCATGACATCTTCAACTGCAAAAAAAATATGCCTAAACTGTAGATTTAATCCGAAATTGCAGGGATATTGAGCCCGGGTATTTAACAATACAAAATGCAACTTTTTCCGAAGTTCTTAATCAGGTTCTTCATCATTAGGGGGGGAGATAAATTCTAGGCTGATTATCCAGCTGGCACAGGAGCTGCTGTAGTCGCCCAGCATTTCTCAACATCTGCCTCTCAGGCTGCAGTGTTTTTATACCTCCCTGTCAGAGATTAATGCGTGCTGTGGATAATTTGAAGAGGCAAAGTGTTGGAGACAGGAACACGGGAGTCCCTTGACTTTGACAGGAAGCCCTGAAGTGAGTGTTGACAAGTGATACTTGATGCGCATGAAGCTAGATGCCAAAGCTGTAAGAGGAGGTGAGCCACAGGAGACAGTTTGTCATTTCAGGGGCGGGAGGGGGGAAGACTGCAGCAGAGCCGGTGAACTGACTGGTAGTGTATTTGAGGAATGCGTGATGATGCTGCATAGTGGAAAACACCCAGAGGAGGCCAATGACATGAGGTTTTCATCTCAGTTCGCATGAGGTTAAAGGCTAAAAATAACAGAAGCTTCAAGAGGTGCAGTTTTTAATCAGCTTTAGTTGAAGTTTTAGGGCAATCAGATTGACCAGAAGTGTTATTCCCAACGATAACCACCTCCGACAGTTTCATCTTCTCCTCATGAGATGATTACAGGAGAAAAGGACGTCTCATTTGAAAGCCTGAGACAGTCGAGACAGCACAGGTCATATAGGTTTTTCTGACACGTGTCTGGGTGCAGATAAAAAGGAGCAAGGTGAGATAGCTGCTTAGTAACAACAGGTAATAAAACCCAGAGACTAAATGTGTAGAGCATTGAGCTTCAAACGGTGTCAGGTGTGCGTGTGCTTTGTAATTTCTGACCATTTCAGTGACTTGAGCAGAATCTTACTTAGATTAAAGTTTCCTTTTAACCTCAGATGCGCTCAGATTTTGAAAGCAGCGTAAGTCATTAGTTTAAAGTTTAATAGTTTTGTAATGTAACTCTTTAAATGATCATTTTCAGTTTTATTCAGTTTCTGTTAACTTTTAGATTGTGTTTGCTCATTTCACTTTTTATTTGTTATTTTAGTTTTAGTTTATACTTATAAATTCACTTTATATTCTTTATATTTTGCTATAAAAGTGTGATTTACCCAAACAAGTGCAAGAAAATATAAAGACATTAGGTGTCGCTCAAGACTTTTGCACAGTAATGTAGATATATATTTGTCATGGGCGACATTTAAGATGTTCAGAGTAGCTTTTATAACACAAACTAAGAACTAAATAGTTCCTGTATATTATCATCGCAGAGGTTCACATTGGCGGCTAGCTTATGTCTCAGCTGCATATTTCCATCAAGGAAACTTTAAAAAGCTTCAAGGATTAACCAGAAATGTCTGCGTAACAACTGCAGTCTTCTTCCTAAATGTTTTTCACTCTCTTTGCATTCCTCAGGGTGAAAGTAATGAAATCGCAGCCTCCGGGCACCATTTCGAGTGGCACTGTGCTAACGTGTTGATTGATGAATGTGCTTGTAATGCTCCAAGGCCACTAAAAACCTCCATATATACATACTGTGAATGCATATAGATCAGTTCAGCCACCTGTCCTCGCTGTTAACTGCAGCTGTCGTCTTGGAGACACGAAGACCCGCACCTGGTCCTTCCTGCTTTACAGAGGAGAAAGTGCTACGAGCACATGTTTAAGCTTTTAGGTCATGTGAAGGGCAGAGAGCATTACACGTAGGAAGCATGTGTGTTTATGCTCTTCTCTGCTGTACTTCAACACTGAGTAAAAGAGCCAATCCATTATAACGCTCATGTTACTGTGCGGTTACTTGTTGTAGTCAGTCTAAACATGGGAAATTTTCTAGCTTCTTTTTCATGCTAATAGCATGCTATTGCAGCAACTAAATCCAATAATCAAAACCACATTTCCTGTTGTTCCTTGTCATAAACAGGATATTACTTTTCTCTGGGGCTCCTGACTCAAGGATCAGACTTAATGGATGCATTTAAAGAGCTGGATTCCACGATGCCCTATTTTTCCAGTGAAATTTGCTCCGAAGCATCTTTCCTTGGGTCCACTGAGTCCTCTTCTGGCTGACTCCTGCACACACTGTACAGTGATACCTCCCTGTGTGACTTTTTAACATTTCAAATTATGACAAAGAGAGATTTGCATGGATTTTACAGGTCTACACTTTCCTACTGGTTTCCTGTAAAACAAGTCTGTTGTTTAGCCACAGGGAAAGTGCAGAGAACAGAGTTTTGGCTGTGTTGCCGTCTTAAGATAAATGTTTCAGTCAGGAACTGTCAAAAGTAGATCGGTATTTCCTTCTGCAATTTTTATTTAGCAGCTTGGCTCTGTGCAGGAAGCAACACAAACATCCCGGGTACAACACAAAACAGGCATCAGTGACGTAATACAGAACACTGAGTCATGCAGCGTAAAAGGAGGAACTGGGGTGAAGGTGGGTTGCAGAGTGGTTTGCAGATATACCCAGTGTTGGGGAGTAACGGAATACATGTACCGCCATTACGTATTTAAAATACAAAATATGAGTTACAGTTACCGTTTAAAAAGGTGGTATTCAGAATACAGTTACTTTGTTGAAATAAATGGATTACACTTTCCTGTTTCATTTTGTCGCGGGTCAGGACTGTTTGGGTTTTGTTTGACAGCTACGTTCTGTATTTCTTGTATTTAACAGTGGATCAAAAAGTGATGGTACTTTTCTGTGTTCATAATTCCACCAATTTTGACAAGATCTCCAACACCGCTGGCTGAAATGCACCCCAAACCATGACAGCCCCTCCAACATGT